ACTAAGTATATGTTGCTGTCTAATCAACAGAATGCAGGGCAAAATCATGACACAAGGACAGCCAATAGATGTTTTGAGAATGTGGCACAGTTCAGATATTTGGGGACGACAGTAACAAACCAAAACTTGATTCAGGAGGAAATTAAGGGGACATTTAATTCAGGTAATGCTTGCTACCATTCAGTCCAGAACCTTTAGTCTTCTCGTCCGCTGTCAAAAAAAAATAGTATATACAAAACTGTAATTCTGGCTGTGGCTCTGTATGGGTGCGAAAATTAGTCTCTGACATTAAGGGAGCAACAATAGACTGAGAGTGTTCGACGAAGAGAATATTTAGACCGAAGAGAAATGAAATGACGGGAGATTGGAGAAAACTGCATAATGAGCAGCTTCATAACTTGCACCCTTTCATCATCATCATCATCATCATCATCATCACTGGCACGACAGCCTTTTGTGAGCCCTGGCCTTCCTCAGGATTGCTCGCCATTGTTCTCCATTCGATGCTACATTTCTCCAGTTCTTTACACCCAAAATTCTTATGTCCTGACACACACATTCTTCCCCTCTCAATCTTGGTCTTCCCACTCTCCTATTTCCTTCTGGTTTAGTTTTAAGCATTTTCTTGATGGTTCTATTCTCGCCGGCACGTATTGTGTGTCCAGCCCATTCAAGCCTTTTCACCTTTATAAATCCAATAATGTCTGGTTCATTAAATAGTTTGTACAGCTCATTGTTATACCTCTTCCTCCATATTCCATTTTCTTCCACTGGTCCAAAGATATATCTCAGGATCCTCCTTTCAAATATACTTCACAGTCTTTCACACGATCTTGACAGTGGCCAGGTCTCAGGGGCATAAGACAGCACTGATCTTATAAGTACTTTATACATCATAGTTTTGGTTTTCCTGGGTATTGACTGGGATTTCAGGTGTTTCCTAAGGCCATGGAGACATTTATTTGCTGCAAGTACACGCTTTTTTATTTCATCACTGATGTCATTTTTACAGTTAACTTCTGATCCAAGGTAAGTAAAACTACATACAGCCTCAAATTTATATGAGCCACTTTCAATATATGCAGGTCCATTAGCACAGTCTTTCTTGGTTACCGGCACGTACTTTGTTTTATTTTGGTTAATTTGTAGACTTGTACCCTTTTTTTCTCCCTTGGCACTATAGCCCCAATGGGCCTAGGCCTACCTCCATCAACTTCTCCGTTCACTTCGGTTTTTTTTCTAGATCTTACACATTCGGTAGGACTCCTTGTGCGGGTTACCAGTTCGTCGCAAGGCCTCTACCTGTACACAAACACAGAAAAACGCACACACACAAACTAAACATTCATGCCTTGAGTGGGATTCGAACCCACGATCCCGGTTTCCAAGCGAGCGAAGACAGCACATGCGTTAGACCGCTCGGCTACCATGACCGGCCTTGTACCCTTTACCAAATATAATTACGAGTAGAATGATCAAGCCAAGGAAGTTGAGATGGGCAGGGTATGTAGCACGAATGGGGAGAAGTGTAATTAATACAAGATTTTTGTGGGAAAGCCAGAAGGAAGGAAACCATTAGGAAGACCAAGACGTAGGTGGGTGGACAATATTAAAATGGATCTTAAGAGAAATAGAATGGGGTGGTATGGACTGGATCAATCTGGCTCGGGATATAGACCAGAGGAGGCTTTTGTGAACACGGTAATGAACATTCGGGTTCCGTAAAATGTTTTAAAGTACTTCAGTAGCTGCACAACTGGCGGCTTCTCAAGAAAAGCTCAACTCCATGTAGTCAGTTAAATCTGTCAAACAATTTTATGTGTAGATGCAATATCAGATTTAACCAAAATCAGCCTACTAATTTAGGATGACGCATGCTGGGAGACAAACATGATCTGTACATTGTGTTTGTATGTTGTTTACTTTGTGGCACGATCTAAGAGACGTGGTGGGCGATGAGTACTGACAGACATATTGTAAAGGTTACCATCTCAGAAGACCTGCACACTCCGACCCTTTTTAATTTGACTTAAGGTTTCTGATAATGTGTGCATATGTGTGTACTTTTTAGAAATAAATTTATATCCTTTATGCAGTAATCTGCCAATTGTATACATCCAATATAAACTCCCATTTAGACCTACTTTCTACCTAATTTTTTTCATAGTAACAAGCAGACCATATGAACAAAATTTCCAGCATATACAAGCATGGCATTACTTGTTTCTGTCTAAAAAAATTACAAAATAAGGCGATTCGTCTGCCGATATGTTTGTAACAAGTCATATGAATTGCAGGCCAGTGTCTTAGCTTTATTTAGAGTCCTGAAATCTTTTGTTTCCTATTGTAACATTCATGAAAAGAAGGTCCTTTCTTTTAATACGGTAGAAACATATAGAAATTTGCACTTGGTGACTGATGTTTATGCCCAGTTGCTTGATTATGAAGATTTTAGCGATGAATGAGCTTTAACTTTCACATTGTAATTAACTTGTTCATGAGGCAGTTAATGTGTATGGTATTGTCCAGCTTCATTCTGTGGGGGTGTATATAACTCATGAAAAAAGGAGAAATTATCCCTTTAACAGGCCGTGAAGGCCAATAAGTTTGTGAGAAGTCGAGGCTTCCACATCTTTTAGGAAATCGGCTCACAGATGGCGGTAAGGTTGTCAGCCTTACGCACCGGCTTCCCTTTACCCCCAGGAAGATTCCTGGTACTATTTACATTAGAGGCTCAGTCATCCCCAGGGCCATAGTGCGGCTGGAGAAAAAATTCAATGACATCGGGAAACGAGCCCTCGACCTTCCGCCTTGTAGCATAGTGCCTCGACCGACTACGCTACCGCATGCCCCCGTATAGCACATATTGAGGTCAAAACAATTTGGAGTGAATCTTGAAATAATAATGTTATGACAATATAAATGAAGAAATTGAACATATTTCAATTATATGGCCAGCGAAGGAAACCTAAGATGCATGATGATTAGAATATTTCGAAAGCCAGATCAAATCAGATTGTTGTTCGGAGGCAAAGCTTATTTTCCGAGAACTCCAATCTGCAAGAGAATAGGTTTTATGTCTGTCTATCCACACACCTACCTGCCTGCATGCCTGCCTATGGCTCTACAGCCCTCTGTTGGAACTTGGACGTTTTTTTTTCAGTTTCTTGATATTTTTACGCAGACGGTCGGACTCCTTGGACGGGGGATCGGCCCGTCGTAAGGCCGCTACCTACACACAGCACAGCACAAACACAGAATAAATGCACAGATATCCATGCCTTGAGTGGATTCGAACCCACGATCTCAGTTTTTGAGTGGGCGAAGACAGTTCATGCCTTAGACCGCGCGGCCACTGTGCGCGGCAATTTGTGTGCTAGCAAACTCAAATTGCGAGACTGCAATTTCTGTAACAAAGCAGAATTTCTCCACTGATTTTAAGGCAACTAGCTATATACAATGTATTTACTTGTTTGCCTATTTAGTTATTTATGACTATTTGTCAGGTCAGAAATCATCAAAATAATAGAAGAAGAGTATAACAATCGGATAAACACATAATAGCTTTTCGTTTTTCGAACTTTCACACTTAATCTCATGCCATTCTACTCGTGTATAATAAAAACCAGCACACCAGCCCTGCAGCCTACTGCTGCTGCCATTGTTGTTGTTGTTGCGGAACAGGCCCGCTGCGTGTTGTAATTCAGGCGCCTGCAATGTTATTTTTAATGCCGAGACCAGGAATTTCGCCGATCAAAGCGGCCTCGCGGTCTAAGACATTAACTGTCTTCACTCGCTCAAACACTGGGATCGTGGGTTCTAAACCCACTTGAGGCATGGATGTCTGCGTTTATTCTGTGTTTGTGGTGTCTTGTGTGCAGGTAGCGGCCTTGAGACGGGCTGCTCCCCCATCCAAGGAGTCCTACCGACTGTGTAAAAGGATCAAGAAGCTAAAAAAGCGGCCAAAGTCCAACAAAGGGTTGTAAAGCCATGAATAGGTATAGACTACGAATTTCATTAAATTAATTTCAGATTTTGAATGCTGTTATTCTTAACAATTAATTATGATAATAAATTGTTTCCTAGCTTGTGTTTATGACATTCATTAAGATATTCCTTTTTTTAATAAATATTTAATTGCGTATTTTTTTGTAGACCATGAAATAGACTATCAACCCTGATTGACCGGTATGAATATAAAGTACCATTTTAGGTTTCAAGTTTAGTGGGTGTTCTTAGTAAAATGTAAAATATACTGTCAACTGATCTACATTAGTTGACAATGTCGTTTACTGCGTGTGTTAGCCACTGGAACGGTCAGAATATTTTCATGGAACATATTTCGCTTGCTGAAAGAGCCTTAGCTTTTTTTTCTTTGGATGGTGTGAGACTGAGTCCACATGGTGCGTCGGCCACTAACTGGCCTATTGTACCAGCCCCGGAAGATAGATGATAAGTGTGGAGCAGTAGGTGGAATGAGAATTGAGAGGGGAAACCGAAGTATTCGGAGAAGACCGACCCCAGTGTCACTTTGTCCACCACAAATCCCACATGACCTGACCCGGGCTCGAACCCGGGCCGCCGCCCTGGGAAGCCGGCGAATAACCGCCTGAACTATGGCACTGCAAGTGCATGAAAGAACCATATTTTTGTATACAGCCGGGCAGTGTATGTGGGATATTGACACATTTTTGCCATCTATAAATTTCGGACGAAGCATTTCAGAGTGTTAACTCGATGAAAACTCCCACCTAAGTTAGGCTAAGTGGTAGAAAATGAGCAACTGGTTACAGGAAGCTATGAAAATGTGAGTGACGCACGCGATATCCGTCCAAAAAGGAAGGATCAATGCAAAGATGGATGGATGAGCATGTGGCTGCGATGTGTTCGGGGTCGGTGGGGTGGAGTGGTGTGTGTACTGTTAGTACCGCCCTCTAGACCCAACTATAAGACTGTTTGCCAGCCTCAAGGGTGTTTACATATCCAGCAACAATCTCCAGTGAAGTGACACTCTCTCCCCTGGAGGGATATCGTGTGCTAGGGAAGTCTTCATGCGGCCATGTTCGTGCATGGACCTCACATTAATCGTGTGGATGATGACTCGAGTTCAGGTTCAGATAACGAAGAGGATGCTGGAGACATTGTGCAGGTGTGACAAAAATAATTTCATACATGCTTTGCACTGTGAACTCAAGCCGGAGATCTCGCCTATGCGTCTGCTTGCGTAATTTAATCTCACAATCCACTTTCTCTTTTTATTCATTTTAGTATCAGTTGTCTGCACTAGGTGTCCGAAGGAATTCAATTTTTGTCCGTATTGGCCTTGTAGGCCTATAATCCTTATTTTACGTGAAACTAAATGTCAAATAGTTTTTAAAAGGACCCGTTGTACATACCATTTCCGTGGAATATAAAACATAGATCTCAGAGCTGTTATTCTTATTTGAAACACTTTTCAGTGTAGTGAGTATTAAGAAGATGGGCTATGAGAAGCAGCTGAATGGAAATGCCTAAGGATCGTGTTCTGTGGCCAGCTAATATGGTAGCAGAATTGTCAAACCAGTTCTGCTACCAGAGAATTAGCCAGTTGGGTGAATATTTAACGAGCTCAAACAACAGTGCATATATATATATAAAGATCGTTATATATTTGATTGACCGACTCTGTGGTCTAGTGGTCAGAGTTCCTGGCTACAGATACAGAGGTCCCGGGTTCGATTCCCGGCGCTATCATATTTTCTGAGTAGTAGTGGGACTGGAACGGGGTCCACTCAGCCTCGTGAGGATACTTGAGGAACTATTTCAAGGAAATGGCGGCTCCGGTCTAGAAAACCGAGATTAACGGCCGTGGGGATCCGTTTCACTGACCACGCTACACCATTTGTCCGCAAAATTTGGCACTCACTTTGCCGACAAGTGGCGGTCGCTCGGTCGGTATAGTTCGCTTGCGGACTACAAGCCACGGTGTTTTTATATATATTTGATTCGCTTTTCGGCTCTGGAGCCCACCTAGCCCCCTACCAAATGGGTACAGTGGGCTCTTTTCCCGGGGCAAAGCGGTAGGTGTTGAAGCTGACCACTCACGTCCACTTTCACTCCCCCATATATCCTCATGGCATAGTGCTTAACTAGTTAAGCAGAAGGACAGCCTTACCTTCACCTTGCAACAGCGAAAATATGCAATATAGTTACATAAAGACCAACTAGTTACCCAGCATCACAAAGAACGTATTTGTAAAATATTACAGTTTCGTTAATTTGTAAAGTGTATCTCAGTGCCTCAGAACTGGCCTTGGGTAAAATGGAGTTCGGAAAAAACTAACTGTTTCGAATTCTGTTCGAGAGGTAAGCAGTTCTAATATCGGTCGGGTAATGCGCAATCTTGACTGATGTTACTGTGATTTCCACCGTTTCAACAGACGAGGGAACGGTTAACACGTTAAAAAGTCCACAACCGCCTCCTTCCAAAATTTTACCTGCTGTCATTCATGGTTATCTTTCTATGGAATTGAACGCTGTATAGGCCCTAACAGTGCGTGTTTTCTTTTGAACATTTTTTCATATCTTTCCCCATATTATTTTCTAAGAATTCAGGCGCCCCTTGCATTATCCAGAATAAATTAAGTATCTATGTTTTAAGGATATGTATAAAATAAGGCCTATTAATATTTGTTTATTTTGGTTAAATGTATGAATTTATATTGCGTGCATTGCATTTGAATTTTAGAACACAACAAATTTTTGTTGAAACCTATAATTAATTTACGGAAGTATTAAATATTCATTTTAATATTAATTGATCTTTAATTTTGATTTAATGTCGCTGGATTTCTTAATTGACCTATTCCTTCCAGCTGCACTATGGCCTTGGGGTCGACTCAGTCTCTAACAGAAATGAGTACCAGGAATCTTCCTGGGGGTAAAAGGCGGCGGGTGCGTAAGGCTGACGACCTTACCGCCGTTTGTGAGCTGATTGTCTACAAAAATGTGAGAGCCTCGGCATCTCGCAACCTTATCTTTACCTTTATCTTTAATTTACACATAGAAAAACTCGCTTCACCCTTGGAATGCTCATACGCCAAGGGGGGACCTCCCCACAGGTTAAAACTTGGAGCTATACTATAACATAATGTATTGAAACTTTGTCGTTAATGTACGTACTCGTATATGGCAATCAACCACCTGCAATTTGTTGTTGTTGTTGTTGTTGTTGTTGTCGTCGTCGTCGTCGTCGTCGTTGTTCTTCTGATTGTTAACTTTTGCTTAATGTTGCAGAGGCGCAGGGAGGAGTGTGAGCGCAAGGCGCGTCGTGGAGAGATGGACCCGCGTCTTGAGTTCACCTTCCAACTTCTCGTTGACGCTACGGGTCTCTCGAGAGGGGAACTTATGGACTGCATTTTCGAAGGCAATATGGTACACTTATCTCTGCACTCTAAGATCTGGCTCATTTAGGATGAATCCGAGACAGATGTGGTGATATGAAATAGAATACTGATCATATTTCATTACTGACTTCCTGCTTCCTTTCAATACCTACCGATTTGTTTGGCCTAATGTGGATGCCAATAAAAAAATATGGTGGTATGGTTAACGGATTTTCGAAAGTCAGATTTTAGATTTAACGAATACGTTCAGGCCTATGATTTTTTTACAGACGGGGATAAAAGATACCACCTGAAGATTGAGGGTGAAGATCCATATCAGTCCAATTGATTCTGCGATTCGGAACTGAAATGCAATGGGTCGTTTGATCAAGAAGTGTGTATCGATAATCAGTCTAGCCTTTTAGGTAGGGTTATTTTAGGTTAGGTTATGTTAGGTTAGGTTGTAGTTTATGTACGGTTTGAATGTTATCAAGAGAAATTACGGTGTCACACTGGAATTACGATTGTAATTACTGAACAATAAATTTTGAGTGTTAATGGTAAAAATGATACATTAACAGAACCTACCTGCAACTTTACTAGTGTTTAACTTTGTCAGTGTATGACCAAAATTTTATGGTAGTGATTTATCACAAAACATTATGTGCACTGGTTTCACCGATTATTTTTATGATTACAGCATAATCACATGATCTATATAATTAAAATTCTCCAAAATCAATCAGATAATATTCATTAAATGTGTTCTGACAAAATATTTATAAACAAAACTTATGTAGTGAAATGTATGTATGTAGCATCTGTTAGATCAATTCCCAGTTTATTGGTTTAAAATGGGGATACTTGATCCTCATTGCTGTAAGTTCTGGAAATGCCACCACGAATATGTCTGCTGGTGATGTTAATTTAATAGCCAAATTCTTAACTTCCCTATATAATACAAGCCTTCAGATATCATTGCTCAGAAGTAAACAACAGATAAAAGCCACATTATGCCCTATGACCAATGACAATGTCGTAGCTAATAAATTAATTGTTTTTAAAAGTGTCTGAAGCTCACATACTTGGAAAAATCGCTGACAAATGGAAGTGGTGATCATAATGAAATTTAGGAGCAGAATTAAATCAGGAAGTATATTCTGTGAATTGTAATAGCTGTGTTTGTGCTCTGTTACAGCTAGATGAAGTCAATCAATTATTTCTTCCATACATGCGTAACAAGCTTCTGTGGTTTTACCAGGAAGTGGAGGATGCAGAGCCATTACTCCCTATTGAAACTGTGAGTTCATCCTGAAAAAGGTTTTAAGCACTGCTGTTAATTTAGCATTAGGCTAAGTGACCACCAGCTGCCCAATTCTCAAATTATGTGAAATTCCTTTCCTATTGTCACAGAATTTCAGTTGCTCTGTAGTTTATTTTTGTGTACTGCATATCTGTTTATGTGTAGATATGCACTATAATCCAAAAAGTATTTAATCCTTTGCCATGTTTTACATAGTAGGATATTCTGAAATTAAATATCTTATGCCATGTTTACTGTAGTGGATAAAGGACAATAAACTTCTCTGGCCATTTGTTACACTGTCTGGCTGTTCGGGCATTGCATTTTACAGAGCTAATACTGTTATCCAGAGCAGAAGTCTGGCTGTCAATCCCATAGGATAATCCCATTCCCATATGATAAAATTCTAATTTATTTGTGTAATGATAGAGTGAATTTAAATGGTGGGGGAAAGGGGTAGTACTACAGAGTGCAGTGGACTGTTTGTATAATATTCCATCATATTGTGTAGAATTGATAGAAATATATGCATTTTCAGTCAAGCTATGTGCAGATTAGCCCATCCAGACAGAACTTGATCAATACCTACATTGCAGTCAGCATATCTGTTAAGCACACAGACAACCAGCGCTCATGTTAATGAATCCTGGAAGACTGAACAAGGAATTCTGTGAACACTTAACCAAGAATTATACCCACAGTGCTCAAAGTTAAATGAATTTTTTATGTACCATTATTTTGTGCCAGTTTCACGAATTTTCACCCATTTCATATTGTATGTAAGAATAATTTTAATATCTGACAAGCCAGTGGATTCATTATGAAAAATATATACTGTGACATTTATCATTATTTGGTGCACTAATTGGCTCACCGGCAGTAGCCATTTCTTGATGTCAGTTCTTTCCTGTTAACTCATTTCACTGTATCACCTCTAGACTACCCTTGTTTTGGTCTTCTCTGTGGATGCATTGCTCCAACTTACAATTCACAACACTTTCTGTTTTTAGTCTGCATCTTTTCACCTTTCTTACGCTGCATTGTCTCCTGCCTAGGTGTTGCAGCTGGTTACATATATGTCATAACTTTGAGAATGTACGGTGCTACCATGAGTGAGGCAGCTGTCCATGTTTCTAGAAGAGAGTGGAAAGGGAGGATGGAATCTCGAATTTTCTTGTAAGAAGGTTGCATCCAGGCCAGGCCCAACCCTGCCTGCTCTCAGTTCTAGTGACACTGCTCCTTCCTCACACCTTGTCTTCCCAAGTAACCCTTAGATAGGGAGCCACTCTATTCAGGTGTTCCATTGCCATCTTAGAACTGGGATGTCACTGGATCCTGTACATTACATCATTTATCCAAGTGACCACCTTTTAAAAGCCTTCCCAGCATGGCTGCTGCATAGGTGATTTTCAGCTGGTCCAGGCCTGACAATACAACTGGACTTGGTCTCCTTCCTGTAATATAGAGGAGTTGGCTAGATGGTCACAGCAGCCCTTCATCCTGTTGCTACTGATCCCCTCAGAGTGTGCCCTGCAGTTATGCTGGTAGGACCTCAGCTTGCTGCTAAGATGTCATGTTACATTGTTGGTGTCACCTCCCAACATCAGTTCTCCCATCTGTATTTGTCATATAGGACGATGAATTCTAAATAATAAAACTTTTCAGGATTCTTCCTACGTTGCACTCAAACACGCGAATTACGCCAATCCTCTTTTATGTGTGCATTCTTCGTACGTATATTTGTGTATCGTGTTCTGTGTTGTGTTTTGCTCCTGTTACTGCATGCGTTGTACTGCGTTGTTTTAGTCATTTTAGAATGAAGATATTATGGCATGCAGTACAATAGTTTAATATGCTTAAAGACACCTGAAGATGGCACATTAGTGCTGAAACATGTAGTGTGGAAGTGAAGAATAAGGTGAAAAAATGTATACACTGTAAGACGGTCAGCATAAACCATGGACATGAATCAGTGTAACAGGATGCTAAAATATAACATTAAAGAAATTTCTGTTATCTAAGCCTTTACCACCTCATATATAGCTTGTTTATTTCCAAATATTTTGCGGTTTGGCCCTTTTGTAACAAGTTGATATAAAATGATTGGCTACACTATAGCCCATTGCTATATCAATTGAGCTATCACAGATCACTGTTTTTCAAATTGTATCAATTTATTTAACAAATCGGAGACAAAATCAGTCCAGGACATAATTCTTATTTCAGGAACTATCACCAAAATTTAGGAAGGAATTGTCCTATAACTTTAATTTTTATTGATAAGTGGTTATAAACAGATATATTTAATGTAAAACATTCGCATTATTATACAGTAACTGATTTTGCTGTTTTTTATGTTTTCAGATTAAACCCAGCACAAGTCGTGGAGGACAGGTAGTGGTGTCCAAGGTGTCTGGTCAGCGTAGTGGTCCACCCAGAAAGAAGTTGTTCTTGACAGATGGATGGCAGGTGCCATTAGCAGGGATCTGCATATACATGTTCCGTCTCAACACTGGCAAGCAACTACCAGAAGAAGGCTTCCACAAGGTGTGGCAAAGTGTAAAAGCACTGAATAATAGAAAGTAAATAGCAGTGGTCTTATAGACTTTGTTGAAGATTTATGTGAGTATGTAGATAAGTTTTTATAGATATGGTATAGGTCAGTCAGTGTAGTGATGGGCTACAGGCCTGATCGCCCGGTTCAATTCCCGGCAGTGCCAGATTTTTCTCTTCTCCACAGAGTCCAGACCGACTCCAGGTCCCACCCATCCAGTGGGTAGTGGGGCTCCTTCCCTGGGGGTAAAAAGTCAGGTTCATGAAGCTGACCACTCATCTACATCTACTGCCAAGGTCAAGAAAGGTGGAGCTATACCTCCACTCCCCCATATGGTTATGTCTGTGTGTTGCTCACTGCTGTTATGTCATATGCTGTTATCTGAAGTAGGGCAGTAATTTAAATGTTTAGCTGGTGCTAGTGCTGGTCATTCAATGAAACAGAAAAGGTCTCTGATGTGTTGGACATTGACAGTTAATTAACATGGCTGGTTGCCCAAAAAGATTTTCAGAAGTCAGACATCCCTAAACAAAGCTGAAGTTTAGAATAGACGTTATTCTTACCGTATAATGGACGTATCAAAATGCCGATTTAAGGATTGCTATTCCTAGCACAATTCTTATTTCTCAACTATAGCAATGACTTTCACTTAGATAACGTTTTTAGTAACACACAGTCTCTTCATTTCATTTCTCTTGTATGAGTCGACCTCCTGTCTCTCTCTGTAGTGGTACTAATTCCTGAAGTGAATGTTTAGTATAAACCTGTGAGATGCAAGGTAATGGAAGTCTGTAATGAAGACATTTAGATTCTGAAAAAAAAAAAACTTCTGAAGTTATATTATATTTTATCTTTTGATGCACATGAGCGGTCATTACAATATAGCTGATGTTATGTGCTTTGTAAGAGATTAATCAGACAATTTAATATTTATGAGTCCTTTTTGACTGATAAAATGAAATAATGCATATGAAATCTTGTGAAAAAGTGATATGCATGCACACACATATTCTTACTGCTGTTGAACACCAAGTTAATTTAACTCATAACAAAGAGGTTGAACTTGATGCCACATTGAGTTACTAGAAAGAATTTAATACAGGAATTTTTTAAGCTTATATAATCTTACTTTTTTACAGAATTATCATTTTTCCAAGTTTTTATTATATGTATTTGGATTCTCAAAATATAGTACTGCATATCAGGTTGGTATAATGTTAGTACTTCTGACTCATGTGCTGAAAGTATGCAATTAAAACATTGGACTGATGCCAGCTATCCTGACTTGGAAAATTCCCTCAGTCCTGCAGGCAAGTTCATAACCACCTCCTAACTGTTGACAACTATGATATAAAGAGTTTGTCACCATCATTGTTAATATTACATAACCTCTGAACTTGAAGTGGTATTGTTAATAATAATCTAAGGATCAGTCAAACATCGCCATCTGTGAGCTGATTGTCTAGACAATATGAGAGCCTCAACATCTCACAACCCTATGGTCCTCCAGGGCCTGTTGCAAGGATAGCTTTACCTTTGCCTTTTTTTTAAGATTTTATATGCTTTTATATTACACATTTATTTGAAAATCTTATGTAAATATTGAAGGATATTAATTTTTATTGCCATTCATTGTACCAAAATTGCAATTGCATTTAATTATTTCTTCTTATGCAGGATTTATTTTGTGGAGTTGTGGATGGTGAACATGTGGGATTGGTGGCGTCTATTGAACGTACTATGGAGTTTGTTTTCATGGAAGCATTGGCTTTCCCAGCTCCTGATACAGAAGATGATAATGGGAACTATCCCACAGTTAAGAATCAGCTGCTTCCCGGCCTTCGTTCCTTTTGCAGTGCTCTGAGAGGTTAGCATTGATGTTGACTGACAGAAGATGCATAGGAAGAATTTGTTATTGTTTAGATACTCATGATCATTGTTCAGTCAATACTACATGTATATGCCATGTTTATACTTTCTATTCATTTCATCACAAGAGAAAAAGCATTGTTAAACCAGTCATCATAGAAACTTTCTGAAGGGTGTTGAGATTATCAGCTGTTGCAAATGATAGTATTACATATTACATATGAGTTTTTGTTTGCATTTGACAAGGGACATAGTTTAAAGACCCATTTGTTTTAACACATGTCTGCGGCATTTATGTTGCAGTATGTGAAGAAGTGTGTGGTAAGCCAAACTTGTTTGATGATCAGCTATATATTATGGCAGATATGAAATCCATGGATGATGTTCGGGAGCTGATAAAAAAACAAGAGGAAGTAACAGGACTGGAGGAGCGTGTAAAAGCTTGGATGAAGAAAGTCCAAGAGGTCTATTACATTATACTTAAGCCCCTTGCTTTTTCAGACAGTTTTTTTTATACAGAATTCATCTTGTTTTAACCCTCTCCATGATATGTCTATATATTTTTCTTAGCAGTTTTGGCAATTTTGGTCTGGAATCAGTCGGTGTTTGAGAAAGAAAGTGTGAACTATATGAGTTCCACCATCTCTCTTCAGTTAAAGACAATTTCTCCTGACTTTTCAGCAGTGCAAATAGTATAATACATGGATTCAATTGGTTATTGGCATAATTAACAAAGATTTTTCAATTCCATGGGCTGTACAGCATGGAATGGTACTATGATTCAAAATGAAACTTTTGAAATGCCATTAGCTTCAATGGCTTTACTCTAAGTTCAACTTCTATTTTTCATGTTATTTCTATTTATCATGTAGTTAAGCACATTCAAAACAGTTTTTCTTTCTTTGTTTCTAAACATAAGCCCACTCACCTCCATCTAGTGTCGAGATCAAGAAAGTTGGAGCTGTACCTCCATATCCCAATATTTCTTTATGGAATAGTGCTTAACTAATTATGCACTAGCATAACAAATGTCACTACTGAAGCACTGTGGATGCATATAAATGTCTCATGGGCTACTCAAGAGGAAATGATGGCATAATTTTATATAACAATTAAACAAACATATACTGAGTGTCTGGAAGTTTACTCCTTTGTATTTCACCATGATGAACAGACAAATCTGCTCTTTGATAAAATGTTGACAGACTGATAATTTTCTCAGATTAAATTTGATGTACCATGTTACCATATTAAATGTGGAATTTATATGGTAATTACCATGTAAATACCCCATATTCAGCTGAAGTGACAGATCAGCTTTCACTGTCAGACAGGAAAGTCAAAATACATAATGTGGTAATGTTGTTACATTATGTTAATATTTCTATGGCAAAACTTCTTGTCCATCTATCACAGTACAGTGCTCCAGGATGGTACTAGTTCTACCCCCCTTTGAGAAGTTGCATGGCTGCTATGTGTGATGGAGAACTAGAAGTATGAACAATTGCATGATATTCTTATAACTTTAATTTCAGTGAATTTGTTTGCAAATTTTGTGGAATGGGGTGGGGAAGGACATACACAAGCCCATGGTGATGCTATGAGAATTATCTTACTTTTAAAATAAGGAAAGTGACTAAAAGGGTAATCTTAATAATGCATAGAAACTTTATTTAAGAGGAAAGCAAGACTGTGACCCCCAGATACCAGTAGCAGTAGGACAGTCTACCTTTAAATGGATGTTTTATAAATATTGCATGTTAATTACCATGATATTTTGTGACATGGTATTTCATGGGGATTTTACTCTTGCTCTACTAGACTTGAGACTGACTTTGTTTCTCTTGCTAGTGAAGTTTGCATAGTGGCAATGCTGTGGACTAACATGTTGGAGGTGCTCATTTTGGATTTGTGCTGGGACACCAGCTGTCCTTACTGAGGGTTTTCATTGTTTTGCTCAGTGTCAGCAAATGTCAGGATAGTACTTTAATTATGCCATGACCACTTTCTTCCAAACCCTTTTAATCCATTATTCAACACTAATCCTACTATTCACATTGTCATGAAGTAACCTAAAAATACCTCTTGTTTGGCTGTGCACAGTTTTACCCTGTAGTTTACTGAACATTGAAGTGTATCACAACTGGGGCTTTAATGTTCACTGGNCAAACTCAGTGGCCTACATAAAATAATAAGCCTGATAGGGCTTTTCTTCTATCAAATTTTAAATAAGAATATTTGTATAACTTTCAACATAAGTGAAAGAAGCCTTCATGCTCCAGACTATACAGACCTAAATTAAATATTTGCAGAAGTAAAGTTTCTCCCAAGGTGTTTAGGACACATTGTATTTGGGAACTAATTTGATTCTCTTATAATTTGCTCTTAATAGGTGCTGGTAGAGAGTGAGCACTTGCGTAAAGAGAATGATTTAAGTGGTCCTCAAGATGAGTTGGAGTATTGGAAGAGACGAGGAGCCCAGTTTTCGCAGATTGTTACACATCTTCAGGGTCATGAGGTTAGCAAACTTTAAATTCTATATAAATATATGGTTTTCCGTGTCTAAAAATAATCTTCTCTGTAATTTTGAAAAGCATATATAGGTTCTCCCAATGGTGATTATGGAGAGTTCCGTCTTCTGGGATATAATGCAGTGGCAGTCTGTTGAACATCAACTGACACTTTGGTGTAACATGTTGCCTCCATTTTCAGGGTCGGATAATAAACCAAGAAGTAAACTCGAATGAAGCAGATAGCAAGCAGAGCAATCGGCTTGCCGATAGGAAAATGCAAGACAACAAGTCAATCCCCTCCTTTGGCTGATCAATAAGACAGAATGGACGAATAGAAGTGCAGGAACAACTTGCTAGTGCCCACTGGCTGCCCTGCAAAACCGAACAAACCAATAAGAGACAATACCAGAATGGTTAGCATGGCTCTGAAAGGACCATATTTGTGCCAGTGTAGGAAAACTGGGGGAGAAGTAGGAAGGGTGTCTGGCAGAGAAGCGAGCAATGTGAAGAAAATACACGAGGGGCGTTCAAGTTCTAAGGTCTCCGATTTTTTTTTTCTCAGGACTGGGAGCAGATAGACACATGCAGTTTAGTTGAAAATACGTGTGCACTCTTTGTGAATACGTGACAGAGATGGCAGGACTATACGGCACACAGATTTCTAGTGGTGGCAGCGAGAGTGAGGAGTGTTTTTGATACCTAAAATGGCGACGTTTTCGTTACAAAAACAGCGAGTAATCTTTCGTTTTCTCCACTTGCGTGGTGCGACACCCATTGAAATTCATCGCCAGTTGAGTGAGACATGTGGTGATGGTGTCATGAATGTGAAAAATGTGTGTTTCTGGGTGCGACAGTTCAAAGAAGGCTGAACGTCGTGTGACAATGAACCAAAAACAATCTTGGCCCCACACCAGCCGGTCTGACAACATGGTCGAGCGAGTTGAGAAAGTTGTTTTGGAGGATCGCCGATTGAGTGTGGAAAACATTGCCTCCAAAGTTGGCATTCCCATGGGATCTGTGCACACAATCCTGCATGAAGACCTGCGAATGCAGAAAGTGTCCTCCAGGTGGGTGCCACGAATGCTGGCAGATGACCACAAGGCTGTGCGCATGGCAATTTGCCAGGTGATGTTGACACGTGATGAAGGCATGAATGGGACTTTCTTTTCGTCAATTGTGACAATGGATGAGACATGGATGCCGTTTTTCAATCCTGAAATGAAGCGCCATTCAGCTCAATGGAGCACACAGACTCACCACCACCAAAAAATTTCGGTTAAGCACCAGTGCTAAAAAATGATGGTGGCCATGTTTTGGGATAGCGATGGCATAATCCTCACTCATTGCATTCCAGAGGGTACTATGGTGACAGGTGCATCCTACCAAGATGTTTTGAAGAACAAGCTCCTTCCAGCACTGCAAGAAAAATGGCAGGAAAGGCTGCACATGTGCTCTTTCAGCAGGACAATACACCAGAGCATCGGGCGTATGCGACGCAGAAATTCCTTTGTGAAAACAACCTTGAAGTGGTTTCTCATGCTCCCTACTCACCTGGCCTGGCTCCTAGCGAATTTTAGCTTTTCCCGACAATGAAAGACACTCTCCGTGGTTGCACATTCACCAGTCGTGCCGCTATTGCATCAGTGATTTTCCAGTGGTCAAAACATACTCCTACAGAAGCGTTCACGGCGGCCATGGAATCATGGCGTCAACGTTGTAAAAATGTGTATGGCTGCAGGGAGATTACGTTGAAAAGTAACAGAAGTTTCAAATTTTTTGTATGAGTAGTGTGTGAGAAAAAAAGTTGGAGACCTTAGAACTTGAACACACAACGTATGTGCGTGGATCCTAATCATTCATTGGAAGATAAAGGAGCAGAAGTAGAGGAGGGAAGCTGGAACAGGAGAGTGGAGACTAGGGCCATTGAGTTCCTAGAGAGGACACAGTTCGTGCCCTGATAAGGACAGTGTGTACAGACTTACATGGCCTCATGCAGAACCCAGCTCTAGAATTCTGTGAAGGATGCTTCCCATAATCTTTTAGGGATTAGGTGAGCAGTCTCCATGACTTAGGCAGAAGTCATCTTCCCTGATCATATTATTGGTATATCCAGCTTGCGCTCTCTCTCTCTCGCTCTCTCTCTCTCTCTCTCCTCCTTGTCTCTGGAGGGAGGATTTTCTGTTGATAGGGCCCAAATGAATATGCTCTTACTTGAGTATGGAGACAGAATCCGTTCTCTCAGACGTTTTTAAATAAAAAAAGGATGACGGATAAGGTCCAGAAGGTCAATAATCATATTAATGTATAATGATCACAAGTTTTAGATCTTATTCTGTGAAAAGTTCTATAATAAATGTTTCAGTAAATTTCTTCTTTGGTACTTACAGGTACAGATGACACTAATGACTCTTCAGTTGACACGTTCTAAGGTGATAAAACAGTGGCGTGACACAGACCGTAAAATAACATTCTGCTACAATGAATCACGTGATAATGCAAAATTCATACAGTCAATGGAGAAGTGTTGCCATTCTCTGTATTTACATGATCCTGTAAGTCACTTAATGCATCTTCAGTTCATGCTGGATCACTAGTTCTAGAGGAACATATTTATGCTATTTCTCTAGTTACAGTATACTAGTCTTAAACATTTTTTTTCTGTTTCTCTTTATTTTATTTTGACTGATGTACTTATAACAAATCACGAATATTGATAGTTACTTATTATGCCAATTACTTTCAGTGTTATTCCTATACCTGCTGTAGGTATAGAATTTGAAAGGTGGGATTGGCTGCATGGCTTTATCATTTTCCATTTTCACTTCAAAGTAACGCTGGGATTATGAACTAAATCATTCAAAGTAATGAATTGCCCCAAAATAACTTAGTAGATATGTCTTTATTAGGTCTGCAATAATGATAATAATATGAAGAAGTGGATATTATAGAAGAAGAATGAAAATAAAATAATGGCTTTGTACAATGCATGCTTGATTATCCATGATACTGGAGAGGAAATGTAGTATAGCAACAGGATATATTCACTATCCATGCTGCTTTAAAACCTGAAAGTCACTTTACTCGTTTGTCAGTAAACAGTGAGAAAAATAATTTCCTACTAGAAGAAAGGAACCCTCTTTCATGGGTAGGTTGGGATGAGAAGCAATAAAAAATGTATGAAGCTGAAAAAGTGTAAGAAGCTGTACATTCTACTACAGATTGTTGTAAAGCATTACCAGTGGATAAGTCTATCATATGCATTGCTTAAATCATCACGAAAGGCTATGATGAATATATACAGGATTCTGAAAATCCTGTGACATTGATATCAGCCACTTATTTTAACCAGATATTGTTTGGATGGTATAGATTTCAAGTGGTTGTTTTGTGTTTGCAGGTTAGAATGAAAGATTCAATCATGAGTTTGTTGCAAACAGTACGTCTCATTCATAGTGTGTCCCAGTTTTACAACACATCTGAGAGGACATCGTCTCTAATGGTTAAGGTATGAGAGAACAGAACACACTATACCAGTTGGAAGTCATGCTATTTAGGCTGATGCAGCTTGTTTTTAATGGTCGGAGTGGCTGGCCCTCCACTAACATTTAGTGCCTAAATGTGTAAAAGGTAATTTAATGAATTTCCAATTTCCTTCCATTAAGTATGAAATAAGAAGTAGTTTCATAAATTTCTAAGGTGTTTGTATTTTGTATGATGTAAAAAGGTTTTTCAGTATCTGCAAAGAAATTGCTTAGATTGCAAGAAGTTCGTGGAGTGCCTTGCCTTGCATGCCCTAACCCTGACTAGCTTTTCCATGGGAATCCGTTCCACTTATGGTGTTCACTCAATGTCATGCCCATCCCCAAAAGTATATTCTGTTATCAGTTGGATTTGGAGATATCCTGGCCCTTTGGGCCTCCATAGAATTTCTTTGTTGTCTTCCTCACTTTCTTGAATATTTGTTTTCCACCTTCTCTGGTGTGCTGCAAGAACATATTAGATTTCTTACCTTTTCCTTTTGTGTGAAATTAAATGAGATTTTATGTGTGTGCACATGTATGCCTTCATATTGTCGCGTGTATGAGTGACTCTTGACCGAGTTTTGGATTGGATATTGGATTTATTGACCGCTTTTAACACACAACTCATAATTACATTTAATTATAGCACCATCACCGATCTCCATACTTTACAGTTCACTAGAGCACATGGTGAGTCTTTTCCAGCCCACAGTGTCTTCACTAGTAGTTGCCTGGTAACAGCTACAACAATGGCTCTTCCTCTGCTCATGGGCTCAAATCCCATCTGAAGGGCAGCCACCTTTCAACTAAAATAAGCTCTAAACTTTGTTCCGCTTATAACCCCTCGGCACAGACCAACAGTAAACACAGCTCTTCTATTGTTGCGTGCAAGTATGATGTGGGCATTACTTAACAGTCGACCTTGTTCAGTTCTTTGGTTCACTTCCATTGGCTAGAAACGAATGTTGTTTTGGAGCCGTTCACTAGAAATGGCTGTTCCTTTGGCTCCACAGTTCTTGCTTTGAGAAAATATGCCACAGTATGTTTGTATGTGTATGTCCTTTCTCTGACTTTTCAAAATAATTTCCTGATCTGTCACTTTATAACATCTGCTGCTTCATGCTGGTTTCTTACTTAACCTTTAAACGCTGGACTTCTGAAATGGTGGTAAGCTTGAGCTGGCCGGAGTTTGTTTAAATGCCCGCTCCTGGTGCTCGTTTAAATGCCTATTCCTACTCTGAATTTAATGTCCGTTCCTGTTGTGGCACTTAAACAATTTTAAGCATTGTGTTTAAAAATGCTGCATCTAACTCAATTTTTATGATAAATGGATGGAATTAACTTTGTTTGTACCAGCAAAGAACATAGTGTCACATATTATAACAGAAGATTTGAAAATTTTTATACAAAGAGTTATACTCTATTTTCATTTTTTTCTTTTAATTTTGATGTGTACTGCAAAAATGGTTTTCCCACTTCTTCACAGACTTGTTCTGTATTATAAAATCAGTCCTGCTTGTAACACTTGACAAATTTTAGCAGTCCCTGGTGTCATAAAATGGATGAAAGCAATAAAATCATTTGGTCTTCTGCTAGCCCTGCTTACACTCTTCGGATTTTCGAATCTTTTGACTAAAGGACAGAAGAATGAAAGAATAGCTATTCAAGAGAAAGCTAGAAGGTTCCCTTCTTCAGTGCTAAGACCTTCCGTTATAGCTGCAAGAGATTATTGCCTTTCTAGGCTCGTGAAGAGACAGTTGCATCGTAGCTGAGATGCAGAGTGTGATCTGTTTTCTGTGCATTCATAGTGAAATCGAATACTGTAGTTTAATTTCAGCCTATATAGACATCAAGCAGATAACAACAAAAAAGGTATGTACACCGAATTTTACAATATATTTTTAACACATTAATCTGCAGAATCTGCAATAAAATTATTGGCTCGTGGATGAGTTTGGGCATAACTCATATGTATATTCTTTTTTCTGTTGTTCACTTAGGTATCATTTTAATTCCTCTATTATGGTTTTACTCAAGTTTGTCTGGTAATTACCACATTTAAAAATAAATATTTAGGACTGTGCATGCGCTTCTACTAGCGGCGTGTGCACGTGCTTCCACTAGCGGAATTTAAATGCCCAACTGGCCAAAACATGGTAGTTTGGCCACGATGACCATACTCATCACTGGCACGATCGGCGCACGTCGGTCGTTAAAGGTTAACTGTGTCTCTCTTTGAAAAGTTTCAACATTCCCATTTTCTGACAATTTTCAGATTTGTATAATTGTGGATTAATTTCAGAATTTGTAAAATTTCACAGAACCATTAAAATGTGTAATATTTATGAAAATATTACTGATTTCTAGTATTATTGCAGTTTTTAAAATTTTCAAAATTTTTGTTCAATTCTAAAAGTCTTTAAATGCTTAAGAAAGTGGAAAAGTTTCCATTTATTGAAAATCTATAACTTGTTTAAATTTTTATAATATTTTAAAATTCTCAGTTTTTCAAATGTTGCAAAGTTTGAAGAATTTAATAGTTCTTGGATTTTTTAAGTTTTTCCCTTATTTGATATTTTTAAATGTTAGAAAATATAGCATTTTCAAAATTCTGAATTTTGTAATTTTCAATTTCAACCTGTAAGGGAGGGTTAGACTATGAAATGTAGGTTATGGTAAGTTCAGTTTTGTTTTTAGGTTAGCACATCAGACCATTGCACATGAACCAGTTATCATTTTTAGCTACTTTATGTGTTTAGGTATTGCTGCAATTAGGTTTGTTAAGAAGTTCTAATAACAATAACATCACTATAACGACATTTGTAGTGATCTTTTTGTACACAGATCACAAATCAGATGATTGAAACATGTAAGCTGTACATCACCTGTCGAGGAAAGGAAACAATCTGGTCACAAGATCGTTTGGAGGTTCAGAAGAAACTGCAGGACTGCATAAATCTGAACAACATATACCACAAAACTTACACTCTAGTAAAAAATCAGCCCTTTCTTCCTGGGCAGACATCATTTGGCTTCTCTGAGAACTATGTCTTCGGAAAGTTTGATACTTTCTGTGATCGTCTGAATAAGATCATTACTATGTTCAATCTTGTCAATGACTACAATTGCTTATTTGCTCGCAGAATGGAAGGTTAGTGACATAAATGATGAAATTAGTGGGATTAGTATGGCTTGTAATTATAGAAAATTCTACCAGCTCTAAATCTTATAATAATGAAAAAAAAAATGTTTTGAAGGGTAGTAGAATGTAATGAATTTATACGTACATCCTATGACCTCTGTACAAGTAACTCCTATTTCACAATGTCTGATGTTCACCAGAAATCCATGGTATGAAGATTTTACTAGTACTTTATTTTGTATGTATTCCTTACTTTACTATGAAGAATAGTGTGTAAATGATTAATTAAAAGTATGAAAGCCATAGTTGGGCTGTCTGGCTGTTATAAATTATAACTTTGCTAACCTTATTCATGCCATTTGTAATACATTGTATCCTGTTGCTATCAGTTCAGATAATTAAAATGTCCTTTATACATTGTGTTTTAATACATTAAAAGAGGCATGGAACATTTAATTGAACACCATTTTCTATATCAGATGTGGTATTGTTTTAAGACATCTTAGACACTGCTTCCCCATTTTGTAGTCTTATATTCTCTTGCCTACTGCTTCAAGATAAACTATTCCATATGGAGTATAACCTTGGCTAGAAAAAGTATGTAAATAAATATTAGAACCTCTTGAGTCATATGAAGCATAGTGATGGTCAGATGAAAGTATCTAAATAAGCATTAGAATGTCGTATTACAAATGGAGCATAGTATGTTGGCCACAAAAAAATATTTCAATAAACATTAGAATGTCTTGTTACATGTAGAACATGGTATTGGCCAAGTAGTATGGCCTCAATAAGCACTGGAAACTTCCCAGATTTGAAGTTCTCAGAGCAGCAACTATGAAGAACACTGTCTTCTGGGGTGTGCCACCATGTAGTATGGTAAAGGTTCATTAATATTCCTTGAAACATCAGTGAAATCCTTCTGGATAACCTGATGTCATACACCAGAAGATAATATTCTTCATTAACACTTGTTTTTACTTAAGGAGCACAGTGTTGGCCAAATAAAAGTGTCCTTTTGTTATATATATAAGGGGCAGTCAAATGAAAACGGGTCACCTTGCATAACTCACACAATGTGCAAGTTGGTAACACTGGAATTTGCTTACGGTACGAACATCTGGTGGGGATTTGGGAAAACACAGTGACAATGTGCCCTTGCACACTAATCGTTTGTTTATTGTGCTGGAAGTAAGGTTAGTGTTACATGTTTTCATCCAACATCGGTAATGGAGGCGAGTAAAGAAGAACAGCGAAGTGTAGTGCGCTTTGTGACTGCTGAAGGAGTAGGAGAATGAGAAATTCATCGTTGCATATCTCTTGTTTATGGCAAACACAGCATGTCATGTTCGCATGTGCTGGCGTGGCATAAGAGATTCCAAGAGGTACATGTGTCACTGCAAGATGATGCTCACTCAGAACAGGCTCATCGTGTCATCACTCCTGATGTTATTGCTGCTTTGGATGGTCATATCCAGGCAAACCGAAGGATTACTGTGGAAGAAATTAGTCTTTTGATGGGAATAAGTCACGGTTCCATACACGCCATTGTGACAAAACACCTGCTGTACCGCAAAATCTGCGCGCAGTGGGTTCCACGTCAACTCACGGAAGAACAGAAGACTCGGAGAATGGCTGCATCACTGGGTCACGTGCAACGATACCATGAGGAAGAGTATGCTTTTCTGTCCCATATTGCCACTGGGGACGAAACTTGGTGCCACCATTTTGAACCTGAGAGCACATGGCAGAGCCAACAGTGGAAATACATGAATTCTCCCCCACCGAAGAAATCCAAAGCTGTACACACAAGTTCAGGTAAAGTGATGATGACATTCTTCTTCAACTGCAAGAGCCCTCTGCTTGTTGAATTTCTCAAGCATGGGGCCACAGTCAGTGCACAACGCTATGAAGACACTTTTGCAGAAACTGAGATGTGCCATAAAGTCAAAACGCCCAAGAATGCTATTGAACAGCATTATCCTTCATGATAATGCATGCCCCCACACTGCCAACTCTGAGGAATATGCTACAGAGATTTAGTTGGGAAGTGCTTCATCATCCCCCTATAATCCAAATCTCTCCCCATGTGATTTTCACATTTTCGGAGACCTGAAGAGAGACATTAATGGACATCGGTTTGCTTTGGACAAAGACCTGTGTGGCTGGGTAAAGATGTAGTTCCGTAGACAGCCCACAAGCTTTTTCAATGATGGGATTGACCATCTTATCTCCCAGTGGGATAAATGTACTCGTATTAACAGTTTTGGAGATTACTTAGAGTTTTTTTTTTTATTGTTAGTGGAGTGGGACTAAGTCCCTTGTACTGCGGCCACTTCTGGCCTATTGTACCAGGCCCAGATGATAGGCGAAGGTGATTGTGGAGCAATTGGTGGAATGAAGATTGGCAGGGTAAACCAAAGTACTCGGAGAAAACTGCCCCAGCGCCACTTTGTCCACCACAAATCCCACTTGACCAGACCTGGGATCAAACCCGGGCCACCGCAGTAGGAAGCCAGCAACTAACCACTTGAGCTATGGCACAGCCAGATACTTTTGAAGTAAGAAATGTCCTTTAATATGTTTTGGCTTCTGACCCGTTTTCATTTGACTGCCCCTCATAAAATTGATTAGCAGTGAAGGCAGCATTGTTTTATTAACTAGTGATAAGTATCTGATGATAATTTTAGGTGATGTCAGTTTTAATTTGTCAAATTATCTTTGTTTTTCAGGTCTTCTTCTTGGAGAAGGTAATTGAGGTTTAATTTTAATTGATTTTTAAATTACTTAGTGAAGCTGTTTCAGCTGCATAAGTCACATAAAATTGAATGTGACAGAACGTTGATTATGAAAGGTACGTAAGTAAGAATACAAAAGATCCTCTTTAAACAAACTATTATGATATTTTCTAGGGAAGACTAAGGAAAACCACAAGATCCCTAGTCTGGTTGTCCAGTGACCTGATAGAATTTGCAGAGGATAGTTTCTATGAAGAACTAGAATGGGTATTTGATAAATTCCCAAAATACCGTTTGAAAATTTTGTTCGGAAATTTCAAACCAGCAATTGGGAATGAGAGTTTGTGCGAAATTAGTGATGATAATAGAGTTAGAATAGTAAACTTTACCACATCCAAAAAACTGATTATCAAAAGTACAATGTTCCCACATCGTCACATTCATAAATTTATTTGGACATCTGCTGTTGTAAATACTTACAATCAAATTGATCATATTTTGATAGACAGGAGACAGCATTAAAGTATTCTTAATGTCTGATTGTTAAGGGCAACAGATTATGATACTGACCACTGTCTGATGATGGCAAAATTTAAGGAGACACTGACAGTGAGTAAATAAACAACTCAGATAATTCATATGGAGAAGTTTAATATCAAGAAATTAAATGAGGTGGAGAGTAAAGAGCAGTATGGCATTAAAATCTCAAATAAATTTTCAGCTTTGGAAAACTTAGATACTGAGGTGGATATTAACCTTTAAACCCCAGACTCTTGAAATGGTGGTAAGCTTGAGGTGGCCGGAGTTTATTTAAATGCCCGTTGCTGCTGTGCATTTAAATGTCTGTTCATGTTGTGGCACTTAAACAATTTAAGCATTGTGTTTAAAAATGCTGTATCTAACTCCATTTTTATGATAAATGGATGGAATTAGCTTCGTTTGTATCAGCAAACAACATAGTGTCGCATATTACAACGGAAGATTTGAAAATTTTTATACATTGAGTTATATGCTAATTTCAAATTTTTTCTTTTAATTTTGATGCATACTGGAAAAATATTTTTTCAGTTCTTCACAGAGTTGTTCTGCATTTTAAATTCTTCTCTGTTTGTAACACTTGACAAATTTTGGCAGTCCATGGTGTTATAAAACAGATGGAAGCAATAAAATCATGTGGTCTTCTGCTAGCACTGCTTGCACTCTTTGGATTTTCGAATCTTTTGACTAAAGGACAGAAGAATGAAAGAATGGCTGTTCAAAAGAAAGCTAGAGGGGTCCTTTCTTCAGTGCTAAGACCTTCTGTTATTGCTGCAAAAGATTATTGCCCTTTCTAGGCTCGTGAACAGACAGCTGCATCGTGGCTGAGATACAGAGTGCGATCTGTTTTCTGTGCGTTCATAGTGAAATCGAATACTGTAGTTTAATTTCAGCCTATATATACATCAAGCAGATAACAACAAAAAATGTATGTACACTGAATTTTACTATATATTTTTAACACATTAATCTGCAGAATCTGCAATAAAATTACTGGCTCGTGGATGAGTTTGGGCATAACTCATACGTATATTCTTTTTTGTTGTTGTTCACTTAGGTATCATTTTAATTCCTCTATTATGGTTTTACTCAAGTTTGTATGGTAATTACCACATTTAAAAATAAATATCTAGGACTGTGCATGCATTTCTACTAGTGGCGTGTGCACGCACTTCCACTAGCAGAGTTTAAGCAACAAGGCACCAGATGACAATTGTCCGATCAAGGCTACATAAGGAGCAGCGAAGGCTATTCACAGTCAGTTGTACTGTGACAGTCAGTCAGTCCTGGAGCTACCTACAAGTCAGTCCTCGAGCTACATTAGTTCCGAGTTAGCCAGCAACCACCCAGTTGTATTGTGGCATTTGGAGTGTACTAATTGTGATACTGCAGATAGCAGTAATCGTAAATCTTTAATTTGGGTGATTGTAAGTGCGAATGTGAAATAAAATTTGCTACATCAAATACATCGAGAAGTTATTTGTCGCAATATACTCCCGATACGCGACAATATGTTGCTGTCTCATCAACAGAATGCAGGCAAAATCATGATATAAAGGTAGCTAACAGATGTTTTGAGAATGTGGCACAGTTCACATGTTTGGGAATGACAGTAACAAATCAAAACTTGATTCAGGAGAAAATTAAGGTGAGATTGAATTCAGGTAATGCTTGCTACCATTCAGTCCAGAACCTTTTCTTTCTCATCTAGTGTCAAAAAAAAAATTAGAATATACAACACTATAATATTGGATGTAGCCTCTGTATGGGTGTTAAACTTAGTCTCTGATATTAATGGAGGAACATAGACTGAGGGTGTTAGAGAACAGGGTGTGGAGGAGAATGTTTGGATTGAAGAGAAATGAAGTTAAAAATTAGAATATTCAAAACTATAATTTTACCTGTGGGAAAGCCAGAAGGAAAGAGTCCTCTGGTAAGACCAAGGCGTAGATAGGTGGACATTATTAAAATGGATCTTAGAGAAATAGGATGGATGTTATGGATTGGATTGTTCTGGCTCATGGTAGGTACTAGCGGACGGCTCTTGTGAACACGGTAATGAACCCTCAGCTTCCATAAAATGCTGGGAAGTTCTTGAGTAGCTGCAAAATTTGCGGCTTCTCAAGAAGGGCTCAGCTCCATGAGTGATGAGAGAAATGAAGTGATGGGAGATTGGAGAAAACTGCATAATGAATTTCATAACTTGTACTTTTGACCAAATATGTTTATAATGGTCAAGTCAAGGAGGATGAGATGGGCAGAGCGTTTTGCACAGATGGGTGAAGGGTAATGCATATAAGATATTGGTGGGAAAGCCAGAAGGAAAGACACCACTAGGAAGACCAAGATGTAGGTGGATGAACAATATTAATATGAATCTTATACAGATAGAATGGGGTGGTATGGATTGAATCGATCTGGCTCAGAATAGGGACCAATGGAAGGCTCTTGTGAAAACGGTAATAAACTTTCAGGTTGCATAAAATATTTGGAAATTCTTGAGTAGTTGTACATTTGTGGCTTCTCAAGATGGACTCAGCTCCATGAAGTTAGTTAGTTATTTAGGATTTTGTTATGCAAATTGGTGAATCCACTGTCATTGCTGGCTTTTCTGTTTTGTTTGCATTTATGATCAATATTCACACAAACATAGCCACACATACAGGCACATGAATTCTCATATAGCCATATCTCCTGATAACAGTGTACCTGTACAAAATCAGATGTCACACATGTCCATTTACAGCAAGTAAACCATACCAATGAATGACATCTGTAGTGTGAATGTGTAACCTGTAATGTTAATAAGTGATATTTAGGAAATGAGGCACACCAGACTAAATATATTCATAAATCTGCTGAAGGTTACTCAAAATTTATTTATTTTTTAACGATGATTAACTTTCATGTACTTATTTTCTCATTCTGTCCAAACCTTAGCCTTGGAAGAAGCAATCCACACATTTCAGGAGGCAAAGGCAGGAATTACAACCAAAACGTATGATTGCTTGGACCAACGTGACATGGAATTTGATGCAGACTTTGACATATTCCTTGAGAAGACTGACAAGCTAAAAGAGAGCATAGGAACTCTGATTGAGGAAAACTTTGCAAGTGTATGGGAGACTCCCCAGGGCATACGCTTCCTGACTCGCTTTGAAAAGGTAGATAAACTTCATTCTGACTCGCCAGCCTATAATGAATATGAATATTGTTTGACCTAGAGCAGGAATCACTAACAGTGTACCCAAGGGCAACTTGGAGCATTTGGAAGGTTTTCTGGCTGCCCACAAGAATTGTGAATTATTTGTAATAATTTCTTAATTGTTTACAGTTAATTGAAAAACATGTGATGATTTTTGTTCTGTGAACGAAATCTTTATCCAGGGTAGAGGAGTTTAAAATGTTTAGATAGAATGCATTTATGTGTCACCATAACTAAGGGGTGTGAGTATAAATAACGCTGATATATTTTAAGAAACATATTATTAATTAAATATTTTTATGAAATTGTATTCCAAAATAATGTTTTGGAAAAGTCCCAATGTTAGAACACAACTTGTAAATTGTTTCAAATGACATCTTTTCTCATTGGTGGATTCTGACAATACTTGCAGTAATTATAAATATTTCATTACCAGTTGTCCAAAAATGGTTAGTGACCCCTGCCCTACATTAAAACAACATACTTGTCTAAAACTATAGCAAATAAATAAAATCATCTTTTACAGTGACTGGGAAGAATACCTATTTCTTTAAAATGCTAACATTTTATAACTACAGTTAATTTATACTGTTACCATGTTCATAACTGTTTACATACTTAAAACAGATGTTTCATACAGAATTTGTAGATAATTTTATGGTCTGTATTCATACAGTATTTAATGTGTGAAGTTTCACTGGTTCATTAGTTGGTTAAGTTAAATTTATCATGAGGGAGTAGTAATATCTGTGGCCTTATACACATGTCGTATGTGCATGTTTTGGGGTGACTTTGTATACATGTATGTACATATTTGCATATGTCACCTAAAGCTTCCTACAGCAGTATCTAAAAATATAATGGAATGAAAATTCCAAGATTTGTTTAAAGCAGACTGTTTTGCTCAAAATCTGAAGTAGAAAGTTTTAGAGACACTAATTCTTACACTTGGTATCAATACAAATGTTTAATATATGTTGCAGTAAGAGATATCTAGTTAACACCACAAATCTTTAGTCAGAATTGCAAATGATATATCAAAATTATGTACCATGTAAGCATATGACATATTTTATGGAATGAACTTTTACAAAAGTTTCCCAAAAATGAAAATCAACCGCTGTTTTATTTTTAAGGCTTTGACTGTAATTCATTGACAGTGTGCACACCTGATGGTGCAGGATACGGATAGGTGAAGAGGACTTCTTCATTTGTCATTCTGAATTATTTTTAACCCTTCATAATTTCACACACAATTTACAGTTGAACAATTTTTTGTAATAGTAGGAGTTTGTATTACATGAAAGGATTCCTAAATATTTTCAGGTGAGCGAAAAGATTCCGCTTACAAAGTTGGATGAGAAGTATGATCGAGTGCTAAAATACTGTGAACATGAAGTAGATCACATTTATAAACTTTTCCGCAAGCAGAAAGAAGACCCCCCACTCTCTCGAAACTTTCCACCAATTGCAGGTAAGAGGAAGAATGCTGCTTTGTAATTAACATGTTACTCATGGTGCCACATCATATCATGTGCATGAGTACACAGAGTCACTTGAGGATGATAAAGAGAAAAAGTGGCACAAATTCACACCTGATTCCACACCCTTATTGAGAATGTGATAGACTCTCAGCTAATCAAGCAATTCTGTGCCTTATTGTTACCATGTACATGATAGCTAGCTGCTGGTCCCCATCCTCATCCTGATGAGAAACGCATAGCTAGAAGCTATTGGGCAGATACTTGGAAATATTTAATGATATATGAAGTACACTTGGTCATCAACTTAAGACCACAAAATAATGAAAAATAAAAGATGATTAAAATGTAAAAGTTTTTAAAAATAAATTATAAAGATGATGAAAAGATTAGAAAGGTTAAAGAAATACTGTTAATAAATATATGGCCGACATATGACCAGACCTGTGACCAGACTTATGACCTGTCAGTCAGAATGGAAGTCGGTCATAAGTCGACGACCAATTGTATTCCAATTATACTTTCAAGATTTGAAATGGTGCCTTAAAATGATGTGAGTACTTCTTTTAAATAATTCTGAATTAACCAACATTTTCTTCTATATCTCATTTATATCCTCAGACATGTGATTTTGTGGCTAGCCAAGCTGCTTCACATTTGTGAGTTCCAGGCTTTGATTGTCAATCCAAAGCCTAGTTATCCAAAGTGAACTTCTTGCAGTTCTCTTTAGTCTTTTATGCAGTGCTGGAAATTATCTTCCTTCACATTTCATGATTCACAGTCATGCTCTCATTTAATGCTATGTAACCTATACAGATGAGATGTCATTAAGAAGGATGTAATATGCATCTGCATTATCTGTTACTTAATATAGAGGTTTTAAATAAATTAAGTATCCACTAAATCACAACATGGCCAGCCTCTTGAGAGATTTGAACTGGGTACCAACCAAAAGTCCTCCATTATTTAAACATTGATAAATTATATTTGGTGGTAATTCTTCACCACATATAAGATCTTTCCAATTGGAGGGTGGGAGATATTTCTATTCTGGCACATTACTTTCTTCTATATAGGATTAATATTTTGTATAAAATTGTTCTGGTCTTCCCGTTGTGTTGATGTTCCTATTATATATCAGTTTTCATCTTCTCATTACCATTTTTAATACCGTAAAAACTGAGAAATAATGTGAATATATGACATATCATGTTGATGGGGGAAGTAATCTTGTAGAATTGTGAAGATTAATTTCCAAAAATAATCAGGGGTTAAAGCAAATATATTTCAAGCAGATGTTGATTAGAATGAGGTTAGAAAATTGAGGAAGTTGTGTAAAAAGAATCCTGTGAGAAAATTTATAAGTATAATATTAGGAGAAACTAGAATAAAAAGAATATGGATAATGCGTTAAAATACTCATGTCTTCCCAAGACACTGACAAAAGTTGTAGTCACTGTCCGTTCAGAGTTAAAGTTGCTGAAGTCCTAAAGGTTAAATTGAGCTAATGAAACATTTGATGCCACATTTTGCAATTTTTTTCCCCCCAGAGGACATGAGGACTTGCACCCTGTGCTGTTTTGTCTGTGGCAAAATGAAAGCACTTCAGTAAATGCATAATTCCTTTAAATTTCCAAATGAATGCTGCCTGACTACAGTCTCTCTGTAATGTTTCAAAGTCTTCCTGACAGATGTCTTTATTTTGCCATGAGTCTTTTCAATTGTAAAAGGAAACTATGTTCCTACACCTAAACTGCTATTGAATTTCACATAAATAAAAATGGGGTACACTGTTAAAGATAACTCAGACACACCACGAACTAAGTTATGAGTATGTTGGAACAAATAGATAAGAAATTACATTGTACCATAATGTAGTGTAAATATATCTTGTTATTATGGTTAATGTAAATCATACAAGGTTCACATACTTGTTGTTATCATGATCACACTGTCATCTCATTACAGTGTTTAATATAAATCATGTGAAGTTTACATATTTATTGCTGTTTTTATCATATGGAGGAAAGAGTATGGAAAGAAATTGACTTGAATCAATGCATTTAACAGCAAAATTATCCACCTCTGGCGTTGTCTATTCAAGAGGAACATGTTATGTCTGTGCAAAGTTTTTGTGTTGCATACCATTTGGGAGACACAGTGGAAGAGATGGACATTTATATATGTATATATATACAAGGTGTGGCAATAAAGAACCCGGATTACTTTTATGACTCATTTCCGGCCACGTCATTGACGAAGAGGAGGGTAGGGCATTGACCCTTGGACTTCCCTCTACCGTCACACAAAGTTTCATTCACGTGCATCGGTTAGTCTGGCCGCGACCATTGTTAGAAGCGGATCGTGTTTCTGAGCTCCGTCGGAATAATGCTGAGTGCTAATGCAGAACA